TATGACATGGATAGATCTCAGTAGTCATAGTTTAAAATGTGCATATATACGATTATACCACAGGAAGTATTAAAATATATTTTGACTTAATAGTCTCATCTTTCAGAAGCCTCAGAATGGCCTAGTGAACCTAAAGATAAAATGGATGTTAAACAATGAATTGCATTGAATAGCTTTTTTGAAATGCCAGAGAAGAAGGACCTGTCTAAAGGAGTTCAATTTTGTTCCCTAACGGCTTCCAGAAAATACCCAGTGCTGAAGGCATGCAAGGTATGACTAAGGCAACAGGGTGAGAAATATGAAAGGGAAAATGCAAAAAAGCGCAATAGTTCATTGGAGTGTCACCAAAGCAAGAGGGCAGATGAAAAATTGAATGATACAGATCCTTTGGAAAAGAAAGCTTACTGTATTTGAGCTCTTTGAATAGTTTTATACCTTAGGGGCTTAGTCTGCTTGGTGTGGCAAACTGCGATCTTCACTTACTATGGGATATACTGTACAGTTTGACCGCAGCAGGAAAAAAAAAAAGACCTGAACCTCTTGTTACAATACTATAATAGGTGGGCAAAATGAATGCCAAATGTAAATTGGTGGCTTGTGAATTTTATAAGAATATGCACGGCTGGCCAAAATTGTAAACATTTGGGTGGTCGCAATCACTATGGCATTCCAGTTCCCCGAATGGTATAGGTCAGCTGCATGAACTCATGAGCTTAATCACAAACAAAGTACCTGAGTGCTTCAAGATGACTGGGGAGAAATAGCGAATGTCTGAAGGTCAGAGACTAAGATCGGTCAGTCTGTCATTTGTACCTCTTTTTTCTTTTCACTCTTTCTTAGACAAACAACTTATCCTACTACGTACTTTGTTCATTTGTTCCTTCCTTGATAAAGAATGAATTATATTACTATAACGAAGTAATGTTTGTGTTAATGTCATCGTGACATTTGTTTGCCTTGTGTTGTAGTGGTGTGGCTTGTTAAAGCTGGGGTTAAGCAGTGCACTGGATGTTGTTTTATTGTTGGGTTTTCTAAACTTTTGTGGGGTTTTTTGGACTGAGGTGAAGATGAGCAAGAGGTTTAGGAAGCAAGAATTGGATCATCAGCTTCTGTCTTTGTATCTAAAAGCACTGATCGATGAGGGTGCACACCGTTCTTAATAAAGAATTAATCGAGAGGTGAATTTTTTGTTGTTGTAAGGAAGGGTAGTGTTCAAATTTTACGGTATCCTCAAAATCTATTTACAGTGTTGCATGAGCACATAATATTTCTGTACAATGTTTAAATATAAATATAGTGCTGTGTTAAAAACATAAAACTGAATTGATTTTTACAATTTTTACATTTACGTTACGTAAAAACACTGTATACACTGTTTTTCTATACAGTGCAACATTAAATAGTCCGTTGTTTGTGTGTGGCCTCATCAGTCTTACTTTAGTTGGGTGATTTTGTCATTACGTCAGCATAGTGGATGAGTGAAGTATGGCATTAACGATGAACAATAAATAGTATATCAGCAATGAATAAAGAATAAATTGCAGAGTATGGCTGCATGTTGTGCTAAATAATATATATGATTTTACAATTGTACAAGAAACTGGACCCAAAAAGTCACTCCTTGGAAGTGTAAAGAGTTAGTCCACAGAGCACTGTTACATAAAGCTTCTAACTACAGAAATGTGAAGTAGTGTCTGGATGGCTGACTGCTCATTGAAATGAGTTGTCCCACCTGACTGGGACCAAGCTTCTCTGAACCAGTAATTAGCACTCAGAGAGTGAAATTCCACAAGATGGGAAGAACATGGTGTGATATGCTCTGTGTGGAATTGGCCACATTTCTCTTCTAATCGTGGGGCTTATGAGAGTTTCCAGGAGAAATAGGCACCAGCCTGTGTCTAGAGTCCAGCTCGACTGGAGAAGGTGGATGAAAGCTATACTCTGAGGATTGGGGTCACATTTGTAAAGCATTGAGTCAGTAGTGTCAATTGAACTAATGGGAAGGAGGTGTTGGGGTATGATGGAGCTAGGCAGTGCTCTTCTTGTACAGTACATGAGAGAGAACAGAGGCTATATGACGCAGATTGAGCCTTGATTGTTCTCAACATCAGAAGTTAGACAGGCAGGCTGTCTTTGAATGTGTGATAGGAAGGAAAACATCAAACTGGCTGCTGTTGGGACAGGGTGAGGGGGTCAACGTTTTTATTTGTGAGTGGTAACTCTCGCAAACAGCAAATAGTGAAGTCTGAAAAGTGTTAAGAGTTTAACCATGCTCAACACACTAGTGTCTCCTTGAGTTAAAGTGACAATTTTAGTGAATAGTGCAAAGGGCTGCCATGGAGAGATTGGGTCCCTGTTGATCTAAGTGACAGATTATGGAAGAGTAGGAGATGCAGGGCAGCATGGAGTGTATTTAAATAATCTAGTGATAAATGAAGATGCACAGCGAAGAGTTTATGGGAAGCTGTAGAGACTTGCGTTACAAGAACCAAGAGAATAAAAACTTTCAAGAATGAAGGGCTCACCATTAGATCTAGGATCCTTTGGGAGATCAAGAAAGACAAGGACCAACCTCTCAAATACTAAGAACTAAAGTGACATGCTGGTAATGTTGCAAATATGGTGGGGTGTGTTTGAGTACCAGTGTCATAACACACTA